ATTTTCTGTAGATGGTCAGGCAAGACCGCGGTTTCGATCCTAATCTTGTGGATCTCGTCAGTTGCCGATTAACTAAATAGACTGGTAGAGATTCGTTCTCGGTATCAGTCGGGAATTTTGCTCCCTATCCAGGCGAACCTCTCGCAGATAGCCAAGATGCCGATGTGGCCGCCGATGAATAAGACGAGGATGGCATTTTGCCCGAAATCCTCTTTTTCGGCCTCCCAACATGCAAGCCACACTCCATGCTTTTACCCTTCTTTCACAGAAGTACACAACCAGTGACGTCACAGGGCTGTTTTGGCCGCGCCAAGATGGCCGCCAATTTTGATCTCAGCCGGTCAACTTCGAATGGTTAAAAATGTACTTTCCGCTATGCTTTGGCCCAAAAAAAGTACACAGCGTTTGCAAATAACGTTCAAACTCTATTATATTGCAAAAATCTCGGATATGAAAATTACGTTTCAGTAGCACTTTAAGCAGCCTCTGAATGCTCTTCGCTTACTTTGATTAAATTGTAAAAAATGTCACTTGGCAGTCATCGTTTATAATTTCCGTTTTTCTTAGGTCCACACAACAGTGCCTCAAGGTCTGCATCAGGGCATAGCTTTAAAAAAGTGAAGCCAATCGTTGTTTATGGAGAAGTTCCTAAGGAAGGTGTGAATCACTGGAGCCATGCCCAACTAACTAGATTCTGGTTCGTCCTAGAACTTACCGTCACTTCGACGGGCAATCAGATCTGTTACTTCCGAGTGGGAATTCCCCTCCTTTTTTCCCTTAGAGGAGGCCGTGTAAACATTTCATTTTTATCAAATAAAACGAAAGAAGAAGATGTGATTGTTTTTAATACTGTGGAGATCACGTCTTCTCTATAACACAATTATTGTCTAACCTTGTAAGCCTCGCCTGGCTAGCCCACATGGTCCTTGTAAAGACCTTCGTTATTTTTATATTCATTTGATATGTATTTCCTCCTTTGTTTAAGTAAATATAACAAAGAAGAGAACTTGTTATACATAAGTAGGAAAATTTTTGTAAAATTTAACAAAAAAGAGTGGGTAAAGGTTAGTTAAGACTAGTGATATACCTTTGTAATAAGTTATATTGGTCCTGAGGTTAAAAGTAAAAAAGAATGAAATGTAGTACTTTGCTGACTTTTGATTGGAGTTCATCCTGATGTAAATTTTCTAACTTCTATCACTTCCTTGAGAGGGTTATGGATAAAAAGGTGGGACTAGATTGTAATTTGCAGTGGTGATTTAATACATTAACTAAAGTCCGCGGTTGGACAGAAACCTCAACAGGCCCACCTCTCCCGCGTCTCTTTTCGCTGCGGAAGCCGATGATCTCTGACGTAACATAATGTGAATTCGGAAAATATTCAGCAGTAATTCATTTCATCAGAAACGTGCTTTACTTGAACAACTGCCTATTGACGCATTGTCTTAAGCATAATGCGCCAGGCTTGAAGAATGATGTTGCACGCAGTGATAATTCTGAAAATGTTAAGAATTGGGTAACTCTAAGAGGTACCCTGTGAGCAGAGGTCCCCTCCATCTTCTAGAAACGTCGAGAAAGGTCTCTTCCTCTTCCTCTTCCCGACATTTCCAGGAAGATCGAAGGAGTCTTTGCTCGCAAGGTATCTAAGAGGAAGGAGTCTTTGCTCGCAAGGTATCTAAGAGGCTGTAAATATCTTTCATTTAGAAAAAAAAGTAAAAAAAATTTAGTTTCACTTACTACTACACTTTCGAGCGTGCGCAAGCTCTAAAGGCAGCCCTGTGTACGACCACTGAACACAAGCTACCTTTCTTCATCTCCGGTCTCGGTCAAGCTTGGCTCCTTATACCTCACAAGCTGTTCTTTATTTCCTAGAATAATTTTATTTTCACGCAAGGCATAATACCTTTTGCAATTGCGTGCGCTGGTTAAATACGTGCATGCCAAGTCCTTCCGAGTTTCACTTCAGTTTCGGCAACGCATGAAGGAAAAGCTTAAAGAGAAGAAAAATAAAGGATGAATGATTATAAAGTAGTTGTTTTGTCTGTAGGGCACTTTTACTTCCAGGGGTATTTCGTATTTGACAAGGTGAAAAATATTCAAGTAGGGCCTGTTCGCACTACGCGAAATTTTGTTTGTTTTGCCAAAAAAATCCGTCAACGCGAAACTGTTTTCAGTGCGAACGATTATTTTGACCCACCAAAATTTTCGAAAGAGCCACCAAACTTCAAAAATGCCGTCAACTAGGTTTGGAGGCTATGGCGTGTTTTCAGGGTCAAAATTCAAATTCTTGTTGCACTTCATTCTGAATTCCGAATTTACATCACTGCATGACAATTGCATTCACAAAATAACTCTGTTTTAGTATTTTAATCAAAAACAAGCCATCGTCTACGTTTTTGAAATAAAAAGTACACGTTTCGATTTCACAAAAAAGTTTTCCCGTATTAAAAAAAGTAAACAATTTCAAAAATATTCCTCTCCGATAATTTTTAAAAGTTTCTAATGAAATATAAATGCACGCAATTTTTTTCTAGAATTTAAAATGTCTTTAAACATTCTGCAATCGCGTACGTCGCTATACATTAATTCTGAATTTAGTAAATGCGTTTTGAATTGAATAAACGCGTTTTGAATTGAATACTTTTTGCCAGGCGTTCCTGGCGGAATTCTGGATAGCCTGGTCGCTTGTTCAGAAGCGCATCTCTTACGAATACGTATGCCGTTTCTGCAACTACTGCACGTGTCGTGAAGAGTGCTTTTAGTTCTGAAGAAATAGATAGTTCTACAAATACAGCGCTCCGCGATTGCGCTGATCGCTTTCTTCAAACGGCTCAATTGCTTTGCAGGGCGTCAAATCCATCAAACTCATAAAATACGAGTGCAAACGCTAATCCTGTGACGTTGGCACCGGCACCTCAACAGACCAACTCGGTACCATCTACAAGCCATTCCGTTCGTGCAGAACACCAACGTTTATTTGGATACCAGCCGCCAGCTGGTACTGGTATCAGACAGTCCTCTTCTAGAAGTTCTAAAGCGAGAGTACGGCCATACAATTCTGGGAGACCAACTTGGTCGCGTGCGTTTGTATGCCTTGCTTCGTCGAAATCAGAGCAATTACCAACGTCAGGAGAACGCGTACGTCTGACAATCAACAACCTCGGGGAAAAAAAAATTGAGTTCCCCAAAAGTGGAAAGGGAAGTGACGTGCACAGATGTATAATAGAGACTTTTCTAGAGCTTGCTCGTCTTTGCTATCCCATTATGCGCAGCACAAGCGAAAGTGACAGGTCTAAAGATTTGATGAATCTGCCAGTGCCCTTGAATGGCTTCTCAGTGGAGTACTTGAAAAGCGTCCTGGGCCAGGCAAAGGCCTACCTAAGGCCTATGCAGGGGGATATACCAAAAAAATGTAAGAGAAATAGGTGTCCAGAATTTGTAGGGTCAAGAACTCCACAATCTTCCATATGGTGGAAAAGATGATAATAAATATACAAAACACCGTATGATGTACGATCCTCGCAGTAGAGAGCGCTATTTCTGCAATAGCGAAAATAAGACCTGAAAAAAATCAGGTCTGTACGGGATTCGAACCACTGACCTCTGCAATACTAGTGCAACGCTCTACCAATTGAGCTAACAAGCCAACTGGGAGCAGGCTGTTAAGTTGATTCGTAATAAACCCGTGATGATAAATCAGATACAGAACACCCTCAAAAACATCTCGCCATAGTCTTTCTATACGTTGGTTGTGGACACTTCTTCCCACAATCATGCTTCCTCTTCCGGGACCAAGTAGTGGATGCTCCAACATATACATAGCCACATCAACATTTTCTCCTCCTTTGTCTGATCGGACACGGGAGGGTAATCCATATTCTTTAGTAGCAGTAACAAAGAGTTCGCATACTGTATCTGCCCTATTGTTTGTTCCAGCATGGAGATAAACAGGAATTCTCGTGTACCCATCTACACCACCGTGTATAACTATTCTCCACCTGAAATACAACAATCCACTCATCGGCTGTGGATGTAATAGTATAGTGTCAGTCTTAGATTTAGATGTTTCGGATAAAGACAGCAGAGCTCATGATATTTGAGTTTTTTTCAACTATCCTTAACTTATTCAAGAAAAAAGGGGAAGGAAATTGATTCTACTCGCGGCTTCCCAAACGCCTCAATTTATAAATCATTCTGCCATCCTTTTTGAATGAATAGAACACTTTTTAATACCTGATCAACTTATGGTTACCACCAATATGCCATAAGGCAAGAGGTCCACTGACACAGCATACTGCTCTGGGAGTTATTGAAAGCCACCTCAATGCCATTTCTCGGCCATGCTCTCTTAATCGCTTTTTTACATGATTGCTTACACAAATTCCAAGGACTCCCGCAATGTCAGGAATAGAGATGTTTTTTATCAAATATTCCAGTTGCTCCCTTTTGATGTCAATACGTGGGCGGCCAACGCCTCCGGTGTAGGACGTACTCTGACATGAATTTCCTGGATGAAAGGGAGCAAAGTTTTTTTCCACACTCATTAAAATACTATTGACGGCATCAATCTCTCTCTGTACTGCATTTTAAACATGCGTCACATGTGCCAATCGCGCTAAATGGCGCGGCAATTGCTGTAGCCGAAACAAAGCGTAATCAGCTACATCTTCGCTGACACTTGGTGCAATCGTCACGATGAATCCAAAAGAGTGAGCCTTAAGCTCTGTAAAAACTGCCATTGCTCCGTTGTAAAGGCTGTATTATCCACAAGTTGTTCCATCCACAACAAAAAAATACAAAAATACAACTCTGAGCAGTTCAGAGTACGTTTTCGAGTGGTTGTTTTTAGACACGAGAGCCGCTGGTCAAAAAGCGCAGCTCTGAACAAGCGACCAGGCCATCCAGAATTCCGCCAGGAACGCCTGGCAAAAAGTATTCAATTCAAAACGCGTTTATTCAATTCAAAAGGCATTTTCTAAATTCAGAATTAATGTATAGCGACGTACGCGATTGCAGAATGTGTAAAGACATTTTAAATTCTGAAAAAAATTGCGTGCATTTATATTTTATTAGAAACTTGTAAAAACTATCGGAGGGGGAATATTTTTGAAATTGTTTACTTTTTTTAATACGGGAAAACTTTTTTGTGAAATCGGAACGTGTACTTTTTATTTCAAAAACGTAGACGATGGCTTGTTTTTAATTAAAATACTATAACAGAGTTACTTTGTAAATGCAATTGTCATGTAGTGATGTGAATTCGGAATTCAGAATGAAGTACAAGAATGTGAAATTTGACCCTGAAAACGCGCCATAGAAAGAAGCCTGTTTAAATTTGCCCTCTTTATCATACTTTCTTCATATCATTTTTTCTCGGCGCTTCTTCGCCGGTGGCTACTCAATATTTAGTCAGTCTAATCAAAATAATATAACACTCTCACGGTCTTATCCACAGCCATGTATGTGTTCAGATTTCATGCGGTTTCCGCTCTCAGGAGATTGGTGAAGAAAATTTACCGTTGGAGGGAAAGGAAGACTTAAGTGTCTGTTCGCATGGAGGTGGGGGACCCCAGATAGGTGAGGTAAGGTGAGATAGATCCCAGATAGGTGAGGTCCATATAGTCTCTTATATCATCCTGGTAAAGATTACATGATGGGTTGCTAAGTCTGCTGGTTAGTGTAACCCTTTCATCCGGGGTCACAATTTGTACGTGTAAATGCCTTGACTGGAATAACCCGCCTAGTTAGGGTCGTACTCATGTTGCATTTGCAAGCGCGCCAACAACCTCCAGAAACGCCACCCCGGGATTGTATGATTGTATGCTAATGCGAGCTAATTTTCGACCACGGTTAGGCAGGCTACTTCAACCTCCTGAGGTCCTCCACCTCCATGTAAACAGGCGCTATCCTTCTTATTACATTTTTCGAAGAACTTCGAAATAAAACCCAAATTTCCATATCATGCCCAGTATGCAACATCAAAAATGTCCTCTTGACAGCATATGATGACATTCAAGACCAGAAGACAGGAATCGGTGGAATTCAATGAAAAATTGAGCTCGAATAACACATTTCGGCTGCCTCTCTGTCTCTGCCCATTTCAATTTGCAAGGACAATGCCATCATACGTTGTCGTGGCTCCTTGCAAAGCCAACCCCTTTTTAAGGCCATAGCAGTCAAAATATATACTCGTTTTCAAGCCAAAGAGGCTCGGTGATAACGGTACACCTCATTCATTTTTGACTTTATGTTCCTTTAAGATTCTTAATAGGGAAACCCCCGTCTATAGCACTTTACATGTGGTCGGATGCTATATTGCGTTTCCTGTCATGATGATTTTGCAGTTTTAAATTTTTCCTGTTTCTTTTCTTTTTTTTTTCCCACGAGTATATCATGAACAAGGTTGAGGAACAACTTGGGGACTCGAAGAAAAAAAAAAGAGAATTTTACCAAGGGGAAGGAAATCTAGATTATAGGGAGGACATAGAAATAAGCTCGATGTCTTGAGGGGAAAATAAGAGATTATAAACTGTTCATCATGATATGTTGGGAGGAATAAACTCTATAACCCGCTGATGTCTGGAACACGAGCTCATGCTCTTCACGACGACCACACTTGAGAGAGACTAGTACTGTGAGACGAAAATCGAGATTTCCTCGTTACCAGGCTAAGCGTCTTATTCCGTTGTGGATGGAAAGTCGCTAAACATTATCGATATACATTTGATGAGATATACTACACATCGCCCCTTTTCAACTGTTAGTGATCAGCAGGTTATGAATTTAATTCTTGTTTTCCCTCATGAAAGGTAAGTGTCTTTAACAACTGGTCATTCATATCTCTTAGCTCTTCACATATTCCATTTTTGTAAATTCCAAAATTATACGGTTGATAGCCAGATAAATTATTATAACTTGTAAGAAATGTAAAGTTACACTCGCTGTTATGTTATTTTAAGGATTTGGAGCGTTGTGATAGTGCGGTTCATATGAAATTCAGCCAACAAAGAAACAATTTTAGATCACCTTGGGATATTTTAATCTAGTTGTCTTCGTCTTTTTCCGTGGGGAAGTCTGTTTCTTATAATAACGCCATAATTATTCATAAACTCCTTCAATGCCCTCGTAGGTTTTTATCAAAGAGTAAAATGAAACATCTCGCTCGACCATGCAGTCCATGTGTGAAAATTTCAATTTTTCTCTTTAGACTAAAGCGAGAATGAGTATTCCGCTTTCAATTTGATCTACGCATGGGTTTCTGCGTAGCGCTTTACTATGACTTCCTGTTTCCTCTTCGCGGAATTATAGGCACAACGGTTAAATGTCTTCGTTAAAACAGTAGGGTTTTAGCCCAAAAAAGGGAGAAGTGTGAAATAAGCAGAAGTCACGTCGTATTCCTTGGCGTGACCCGCTTAACTAACGGAGGTGCGACGGGTGCTATCACAAGTTCACAAAATTCTGTTCGTAATATAATGGTGGAAAGTATATTCGTTGGGTACGATGGAAAATTTTGGCTATTTAATTTTTTTTTCTGTAAACAGGTCCAAGATTGTACTCTTCCAATTACGTACAACTCACGACCTCTAAATGAATAAGAGCGACGAAAACATATCTAACAAAGCGCGAAGCGTCACGAGGCTTGAAGCGAATGGTATCATATGTTTTAGTTTCATCGGCATGTAAAACAGGATTTTTTAAAATTTCGACCTCAAAAACACTCTGTTTCCCATTTTGGTTGGTATTATTATTTTTTTTCAGCCCTTACTTCCTCTTCTACTTAAGTAGGGTTTATTACGGCGAGGATCGCTTTCGTTCATGTCAGGAGGTGTCCATCGTTCTATCTCAGTCCATCTGCATGGAGGTGGTTTTGTTGGATGGAATCCAATTCTGACCCGCTTTCTTTGGGGTCTAAAGTTCATTAACAGCAATAACTAACACATTAAGATCGAATTTCAAGCGTATGTGTGGGCCGTTGAAAAAGGAAAAATTAAAAAAAATAAGAAAAAAATTTAGAGGGATAATAAAAGCGCGGAATAAAATATGCGAAGTCTCCTTACCTTTTTTCGGTAGCCGCTTTGTTGCCAGCGGTCGTTTTAACGCTGTTTTCCGGGTAGGTACTTGGTGAAATCCTTAATGTGAGTTAATGTATGCAAATGACCATGTATTCCCACATGTTCTTAAGGTTTGATACATGTATGAAGGATTTCACCAAGTACCTACCACTGTTTTGGCGACTTGCTTTGTAACGCGTGCGGTGTCACCGGTCAACTGTAAAATAGGAAAACTTACACGCACGACTCCCAAGATGGTGTTGTTTGGCAATAGCGCAAACTTCACAACCTTTCTAGTGATCCCCTGGAGAGTCTTTTATTTGGTTAGGTGCGCTTTGATTTTTGAATCGCGTAGTAAGGGCAAAAGGTTTACGCGTACCTACAAGGTAGTGTCGAAAACGAAGCACCCGAAAACGAAGACCGAAGACCGAAGCACTCAAAACTCGAAAACGAAGCACCCAAAACTCGAAAACGAAGCACCCAAATCTCGAAAACAAAACACCCAAATTTCGAAAACGAAGCACCCCCAAATCTCGAAAACGAAGCACTTCTGATTAACACATCACCTAAAAAGCATCTGCTTTCGCAATGACAAGTCACCTATTGAAGCAGTTAATTACTTGTGAGTGACAAATTTATCCCCACGGGTCCTAAAGAGCTACTTAGATTCGTCAGGCTAAGAGCAGCGACATGTTTCTGGCGTCAATCAAGGATGAAAGGGCCTTCGCCCCGCGCGCCATAGTAAATCGAACGAAGGACTTTTTTTGATAGTCTAGATATGCGGCTAAACGTCACCAGTTAAGGGAGTTTCACTCTACTCACCTATTTCCGGTGTCAGTGATTGCATTGTTCGTTAATGACACATTTTATGACACATTTTTACAACGCAATTGTCGCTAGTCGGTTAACCCCATTCACACCCTCCTTTATGTCACCTCCCTCATCATAATCCTCTTTTCCAAAATTTCGTCCACCCTCCCTTCTTCTCGTGATTTACGTTTTCTCCTCACTTCCCTCTGGTCGCCTTTCTTTTCGGAAGTGTTCATCAACTTCTGCTTGCTCGTACATGTATCCCCTGCATCCGGCGCCTTAAGCAGCATGACGGGTTGACCGGTCCGGTTTGTAACTTCTTGGATAATGTGCATTAAAATGTGATATGGGGCCTGTTTGAGGTACGCTCGTTAGCAGATCTCAGCAGGCTCAGGTGACGCTAAGCGTTATCTCTAAATCCATTCCTTAACCCACAGAGTAAAGAAGCTGCAAAACTTAATTGCTCATTTCGATGTAACATGACATGCATCACTAAAGGTGGTTCCAAAAGTGGTTGGAAATGTAATTATAAGATTTAAGAAATTTCCTTTCATAAATTCTACAGAAAACTGATTAGTTTTACGCCAGGTTATCTAAAAGATTTATTTTTTAGTTGTTTATATCTGCCCATTAATTTTGCTATTTTGATAATTTCGCAACTTTAATCTGCCCGGTGCCATTAACGCGACTGTTAATCCAAAGGGCAATAATCAATAGAATATGGCATTATTTCCTTTAAATTATAGATGCGATAAACAACAGATTGTCAACCTAGAAGATTTTTGTGTTTTAACAACCGAAGTCAAATACAACGATTTGTAGGCTACACAGTTACTGCTGTTAAGTTGCGTTATCCATTACACAGAAATAAAGATGGAAGCGTTTACTGACTATTATCATTTATAAGGGATATTATTTTATTAGTTAGCTAGTTTCTGAAACACAAATTTTCTTTTCACGAAAAACAGCAAAAGAAAAAAATAGAACGATTAGAGAACAACGTAAGTATTGAATACTAGTAGTTCTAGTAGTTCCTAGTAGTTCTGGCCTCTTGGCTGGATTGAGGTGCACTGCATTCTGAAGTATTAAGGATAAGGCTTCCATCTCTTATTTTTGTAAACATTATTCGCCATAATTCCCAGACTAAAAATGTCACTAGCGACACTTAGTCCATGTTGTCTCCCTCTCAACGAGTTCTCGTTCATCGACGTGCTTCTGATTAAGGACCTCTGCCTCTGTATTTATTCGCCTGCGGCGATCTTCGATCCTAGCTTACCTCTTTTCTATCTTTTCATCTTTGCTTTTGTTTCTTTATTCACTCTTTGTGAATTAGCCACTCCTGTTCGTCGCTTTCGTCTTCTTAAAGAAATCGACAACGCACAAATAACTCGAAGTCGTACGCAACGCAAAGTCGCTAAACACTCGGAAAGTGACTCCTCTTTATTCAGGTATTTCATACGTCAACTTAATTGGAGAAAAATGCTGCTTTTGTGCTCTTTTAAAAGACCATGTTATAACTTTAGAGATCGCTAAATTGCTGTGGAAACTTGACTGGGAAAGAGGATCACTATTTAGATCTGGGTAGTAACCTGGAAATAAAGGTAAATCTCATTACCTACAGCCGGCTTGAATACACATATCCCTTGTCGTAGCTTTCATATAATGAATCTCCGGTTTGAAACACACGCGTTTGAAACTCATGCCGGAATAGTTGGTTCTTCCGCTCCAAGAACGTGAATGGCTGGACGTGAAAACGGTGCTCACTAACTATGGCAGAAATCTACGTTACAGATTGCCAAATATGCGCGAAACACATGGCAACAAGAAGGGCGTTAGAAAAGCATTACATCCAAAAGCATCCTTGTTGTGATACTCCACAGAGTATCGTCTTTCCTAACTTGGGAAGTAAGCAGGCTCCAGTAGAGAAGCCACAACTCGTCAAAGTCCAAGTTGTCTTCTAATAAACCTTTCAAAGCTATCGAGCCAAGGTGGTTCAGTTGGCTTTCGTAAAGTCCAACAAGGTCCGCCTCGTCGACTTCTGAAAGTTGTTTCTTTGCTCTGTATCTTCTTAGTATACAATCCACTATGTCCATGTACAGCTTACTTCTGCTTTCAGGAAATACACCGTTCAAATCTTCATAGACCAGGCAAAATT